GAACCCTATCTGAGGGGTATAAAATTTGATAGATGGAACTGATAGATGGAACATTAGCCAAATTGTTGGGAGGGAAACACATCAGCCACTCGGTCTTGTCCGGGTTGAGTATCAGTTTGTTAGCGCTCATCCAGTTCTTAACGGCCTCAAGCCCCCGGCTCATCACGTCCACTGCTTCATTGAGTTGGCACGGGGCGGACAGATACAATTGCGTATCGTCCGCATAGGTGTGTCCAAACAATTCAAACTCAGTCTCTGGGCTGATAGGAAGAAGTTGTAACCCATGAATGGAGTCTCCAAGCAGCTCACAGGAAAACCAATTTAGGCCACTATATACAGTATAGTACTTTAAAAAGTATGGAACAAATGAATGATTTAGTGCTAGTTAATCAAGAATGATATTTTAAATTAGAATTTTGACATTGTCTAATATCTGAATTTCAAACTTTGGATGTATTCATTAGAACTTTTTCTATTCCATAATATATTTATTTTGTAATAATTAACTGAAATACTTGGTGTGGTAAGAATATTTTCTCATACTCTCAATATCAGTAAAACTTTAGATTATATAATAAAATGCTAGTGGTAGTCATCCTGCTTATATGTAACATCGGCTCAGTAAACTTTTTAGCATGAATGTCCTCACTATTATCTGTAGTTCTATTGTTCTAGAGAATATTGTAGCAGTATATAACCAGCATAACAAGCTTGCAAGCAGAAAAGGAAAAACAAAGAAAACACTGTTGTACTCTCTTTTTCATTAAGAGGCAGTAATAACAGTAGAAAGTGAAACTGTAGAATAAACCCAGTATGATGTGATAGGCTCTGCTCATGCGTATGGCTGTTATATTTTTATTTTATATGCATTTATTTACAGAGACAACACTGATATTAATTTTTCAAGTTATTGCTTTTTCTCATGTTGAAAATATATTTTGCGTCTTGACTAAATTATTAATGTCTATACATGCATATTACCAGAAGTGACAAGTCTGAGTAATCCTTATTAATGTACTTATTTGTAGTAGAAACCACTGGATTGTGTAGCTCTTAGTATATAGTGTTTTCTAATGAACATGGGTTTACTCTTATCATATTAATAAATTATAGACCTAACAATTCTGCATCTGAGGTCTCATTATGTCTTAAGAGCTTTTGAAATCCACAAAAGATGGGAGTAGTTTCGTAGTGCTATCAAAAGGCGGACTTATGCAATATATTATCAAATCTAGTACAAAATATAAAATACAGTTTCAATTGTATGTGCGGTAGTTTGTCATATAAAAGCAAAAATGTCATTCTCATGCATGCTATTTAATTGTTATTTGGTAAAATGTCTGTTGGTGACTTCTAATTTTAACAAAATGCTGACTTAATGGCATTTGGTACATTAAAATAGAATTTTATATTACACATTACTTTTTTCTCTCAAAAACCCCCACAAAACTTGATTTTTTTAAAAAGGAATTACTGATATCTATACTATTCAACCAGAATAAAGCAACATACTGTGTTGTGTATTACATTACACTGTATTGAGCTGTTACATTATATGGGCTATAAAATTTGGAATCTCCCAAATGCTGTAGTAAAATAAGAACAAAAATGCTGGAAAATGTAGTCAGCTTTTCCTTTAGCAAACGGATACTTTTGTTACATACCATTTTCCTTATGTCTATGAATTCAATCTCTGTATTGGCATTGTGCATAGTGTTACTATGCACCATCTATTTGCATAGATATCTTAACAGGTGTGTGCTCTATGGAGACAGATGAGGAATTAATGTTGTTTTTCAGTTAAGGAATCCATTTGCCTGATTTATGAATTGCCCTTCAGAAATTAAGGAATAACTTCCGTTCAGAAGACCATCCAAATTCTATATTTTTAATTTTTATAATTAATACATTCATACCCTGGTACGTGGGTTGATGTACTGATTTAATAGTTTTACTTTGATCTCTAACTTTCTGTCTGTGTTATAAAAGGAACGAAGGCAATGTGAAATAATAGGGCACAGGTTGCCATATTCCTGAAGAACTTTGATGCTTGTGGAAATGGTAAATTGAGATATAGTGATGGATTTAAAAGATAAATGGAGAAGAGATAGAAAATAAGTGGTTAATTTGTTCTTGGCTAGGGAGAAAATAAGGACTTGGACAACTTATAATTAAAAGGAAAAATAAAATACAGACCATACAAAAAGCAGATACAGATTTCCGTCTTATATCAAACTCTGCTGTAATGTTTGCAAGAAATGTGTCTGCAGTTTGACCTCATCCTGTCAGTTGCAGTAGCCAAAACATGCCAAATGAAATATTTATGACCTTGCAGCTTTGAAGAATAAAGTTTTAATTTTGCTGTGTTTTTATTAACTGCTGAAACATATCCTTTGCATTTGTTTGCCAAAATTAATTGCCTAAAATAATTTTTACATGTGGTTTTATTATTGTGCATGTTAATATCGTGATGTAAGAAAGAATATATTGCAGTGTTAGGCAGTCTGTTGTCAGTGCTGTTGTCTGTGCGCATTTCATTATTTACATTTCTGTGTTACCCAGAAACATCTATAGATGAATTCATGTGTTCATGGTAAAGTTGAAAAGACCAAATGATTTTTAACTATGATATGCAAAGATATGCAAAGTTTTCCAAGGAAAGGTTGTGCACAAAAAGGAGCATTCCGTTGGTTGGCTGGTTGGTTTAGAGCTTGAAATAAAATACTGCGAGCCCCAAATGGCATCCAGTTGTTTCAACTTAACTGCAGTTCAGTAAAACAAAATTTGAAAGTTTAATGTTTACTGCTCTCATCAAAACAATTCTAGGTGTTTTGGTGATGGAAACTATGAGGTTCAGAACAGGCCACCTGGATTGGAAAACATCAGGATAGCCACTAGGCAGCAGCAAAGAAATCTAGAAAAATCTAAATTCTTTTCAGCTATCATGTAAATAATTTTTGCTGTCCGTATGTAGAAATCTTTGCCCCAGCGTTCATTGAATTCAGTGTAACAATCATTTCCCCTGGAGACAAAGATATTTTCATTGAAAGGAACATAAGGAAAAAGATTAGTAGATGGCTTTGTATCTTAGGTCTCTTACAGATCCTTTTCAATTTTCTTCTGGGAAGGCACCCTGGCCAAAAAAAATACATTAATTCTAATCATTACTTTCAAAATGTTCTAGCACAGAAGAACTGCTGTTCTAATTGTTTTGTACACTCCTGTCCAACTGCACTTCATCAATTATCCTTTCAAAGTGTTGAGTCAGCTTTCACTGTTACTTTGAAAACTTTTCTAGATTATAGTATTTCCACAAGCACATGCACAGTAACTACTTATTAAACTTTTCCATGTCCATGTAAACTTAGGCACGGACTATGTGGGAGAGTCTTCAAAGCAGCTATGCCAAGCATCCCAGATGACTCAGATGACTATAATATTGAGGAGGAAGTGTCTTGAAACAGTTCTTCAGATGTTTTCCACAACCACAGCTATTTACTGTTTGTTTCTGAATAGACTTTGATACAAAATATGATGTATTGATTTTAAACGAAATGTTTTGGACTGTACTCTTGTTTAGAAGCATTAAGTAGAATTTTTAGGACTCCCTCTTATTTTTCTCCACAGAAACAACCTTGTGTGATAGGTCTTTCAGCTGCTTTGACACCTTTAGTATCTTGTCCCAGTAGTCTTATTATTGAGGTCCACCATGATAGAAACAACCCTCACATCTTTCCTATGATGGATATTTACAATTATAGCCACTGGTAAAGGTGTTTTGTGTAGAAATTGTCTTGCTGTCCTCTTCTTTCTCCAGAAGTCCAATAAGTGTTCTGCTTAGTCAAGCTAGCAATATGCATTATGCACGTTCAGAAGGAACCTCAGCTTCTGAGCCTTCCTCTCAAATATTCCATTGCCTCTAGTGTTATCACCCACATGTGTCCTTCTCTAAATTCTGACTGGCCTTTGGGTATTCAAAGAGTCCATGGCAGGCAGCTGGCTAACAGCACATGGCACATTTCTCTTTTCCTCTTGCTCTTAATTTAGCTATGCAATTTTCACCCCATCCTGTTGCGCTTGTTCTATGACTTAGTCTTTTGCCTAAGTGCATACCCTGCACTTTCTCATGGTTGTTCATTGGAGTTAAATATTTTCCGATTCATACATGTCATGCCAGTACTACAACTTGTACTGCATCCTGCCTAATCTAAAAGCTCCGTAAACTTGGGTGTGTAACAGCTGAGTGCCACAGAAAGCTGAAGACTCAAGGCGTGCTTTAGCATTGCCCTGCCTGTCTCCAGACTACACTTATTCAGACAGGAGGTCTGAAGCAAGACTGTATTTGCAATCCTTAGTATGACTCCTTGTATAAAAGGAAAATCCTGGCTAGTTTAGACTGTTGAACTAGCCTTAAAATTAATGCCAGCACAACTTCCCTGCATATCTCACATCTGAATAAAAAGAATTTGAAGATTATCCACTTCACTCATTTCCCTCTTCAGGCAAATGTCTGAGATATATTCTCCAACAGCAGGAATACTTTGCAGAACCAGACATTTGATTTTTCTGAGATGTCAAAAGATAATCATGAAGAATTATTGTTTATCTTATTGGTTTTTTTAAATCATATTTTGCAATTCTGAACAAGCATTGAGGCCCTAGAAAATTAATTTCTAGTCGGTACTTTCAGTAACGAGTTAGGAGCATCCTCCATTCAAAATAAATTACCTTGCTCTTGCTTGGATTGACTCCATGTGAAGGGAGGGTAGAGTTGGACATAGTGACTAGATGGAAAGGAGTCACTTTCTCCTTACTTGCAAGTGATCCTAGTTTGGTGAATTATGCATGCAATATTTGTAACAATATTGTATAAATATATTATATATACATATTTTGTAAATCAACCTTTCTTATATGCTTTTTCAATTGTTGCAATTCTGAATCTCACAATTCTTCCTTTTTATTGTAGGGTAATCAACCATGACTACAGAATCTGGTTCAGACTCTGAATCCAAAGATCAGGATCAAGAGCAGAAAGAAACATCTGGTGAACAAGAAAAAGCAACCCAAGAACAGCAGTCACAGCAAGCGAAGGAAGAGCACCAGAATGCATTAGAACAGTTTTCCAGTGTTGCAGCCCATAGCACTCCGGTAAAAAAGGAACAGGCAAGTTATTTAGGGAATCGTCTTTCCTCTAACCTAATGTGTTAGAGATAAGGATTATTATAGTAACAACTGTTATAAATAATAAATATTATAGCAGCATCGTTTTGAGCTGGAGTAGCCTTCCATGACAGTTTTATAGAAATGATATTCGAGCTCATTTGGAGAGTATTTTGCAGGGAGAGAGGTAGCACATTGTCACTCACAGAAATCAAAATGGATTCTAGAAACTAACAAAACAAAGGCTCAGTGGGGTTTTTTTCTTTTAAGGCTATTTTTATTAAAATTATATAATTACAATAAAGCATGTTTGTAGAAATGAAGCAAATTATGTTAAAAGTTTTAAAATTTATTTCAGACACATATTTGGGGGGTAATGAGTCCAGTTGTCTGTTCTCCAAAATTGCTCTTTTTCGGTTCATTGCTGTTATGAAAAGGAGAGGATCTCCAATATACTGTATAACATAATTTAGATTTGCTGTTAGATTTTACTTGTATCTTTTATTCCATTTTACTGGAGTGACTAAAGTAAAGTATTTGCTGAAATTAGTATGAATTTATTTTTTATGATTAACACAAATGCCAATGAGACTAAGGTTAGGTCTTAGTTCCTCAGTCATGGAAGTTTACTCAGTGACTAGTGTCAGTATCAGTAACTGTCAGCAAAAACCATTTCACAGGAAGATGTGCTGTATATACTGCGTTGAGCTTCTGAATAAAGGACAGGATATACATCTAAATTCAAAGGATTGCTTATAAATGTTTTTTTTACTAAAGAATGTGCAATGAAAACTTTTCCATGTGCTGAAATAAATATGTTGGCATGTCCAACTGTTTCATTCTACTTGGAGGGCTGTAAATTCACACATCTGGGTTCCCATAGTGCCCTGCAGAGCCTATGCAGAGTTTCAGGAATGAGGAAAGTAAAGTTCTTTTTGCTTGAAGGGGACATCATTCATGCTACATTTCATGTTGAATGTAGGCCAGCATATACACTGTGTGTTTTGTGTGTGTGCGTGTGCATGCATGCAGAGACAATAGGATGCTAATTGCTGAACACACACATTCTCTACACACACACTTATTTTCAGCAATTGGTATCCTACTGTCTGCAATGTTAATAGTTGATATGTTAAAAACAGCCTTTAAACGTTCAAATTTATAGCTAAAATATGTAAAATTGTTCTGGATTAAGAACACAAAATTTACGGAAGGAATTGTCACCAAGACATAAACATTTCCATTGTTGCTTCAAATTATTTTAATCAGGAAATGTTTGTTTGATATTCTTAATCCTTTGGCCAGATCTTCAGATTACATCCAAATCTTTCAAAAAGGGTCCAGTATCATTGGAAGAACATGAATATATAATGAATGTGTTGTCTTTCTGTGATAACACTGTTGTGGGTAAACTTCATGAACAAGATTGTCAGGCCTCTGTAGGAAGATGAACTTCATGTGAAAATATTTTACTGTATAAAAAAAGTCTTGGATAGTTTTAGTATCTGCTCTAACAGTTCTTGATTTGTTCTTTCTGGTGTTGTTCTTTTTGATGCACAGTAGATATAAATGTAAGATAAATCTGTGGTAGTGTAACCCAAAAAATTATAGAACTTTTTTTCCCTCTTGCTTAGCTATTTGTAAAAGTTAGTATCTATCCATTACTTTCTCATGAATGAAGTTGGTATTTATGCTTGACCTAAACGTTTTCCAGAATAGAAAAATAGTTTTCTTATTTATTTTTAATATATTTTAACAGAGGAATATAATTCTTGGAAGCATGTTACAATGACTGAGGCATTTGTAGAAACAATTAGTGATGAAAGTCAGTAGTGTAGGTTGCAGGCCTAGTTTGAAGTCATTTCAGACCAAAATAGGTATTTATTCTCCTATCATTAAAAACAAATTAACTTATAAAGTTTTAACTGAATTATTTCTGTAGTTCCTCTGCTTTTAAATAAGTTTGTTACCTAGTGGTAGAAAAACCATCTATATATAAAGTCATTATTAAAAAAATACTGCTGGTACTGAAAAGCAATTGCTTGGTATGGTAGCGTATTTTGGGACTATTACAATATCTGGGATTTCAGAAAAAGGAACATGTTTAACAATCATTGCAGTGTTGGATCTTTTTCTATTCAGGTTATTTGACTTTCTTTTTAAACTACCTACTCTATTGCAATTTCCTTTAGCACTTTCCTCTTTTAAAAAAAGCTACACAACAGCAGAGTAGCAGTTTTATTAACCCAAAAAGCTTCACAAATTACTGAAATAAGTGATTTATCTCTTTTCCAATATAATTTATATGCTTATTTTAAAATGGGTTCTGAATAGACTTCTACAAAGGAATGCCTGGTTATGCTACATGATTCTGAAAGCCTGCTCTGATTGCCCATTTTTATTCTGAAACTTGAATTTAATTTTCCTGTTTCTAGGCCACCAACAAAGAACGTGAAGTAGCTGCTGCCGTGGCAAAGCAGCTGGAATATCAGCAATTTGAAGACGACAAACTCTCCCAAAAATCATCCTCAAGCAAACTCTCCCCCTCTCCTTTAAAGATTGTGAAAAAACCAAAAAATATGCAGTGCAAAGTAATCCTTCTGGATGGTTCCGAATATGGCTGTGAAGTAGAGGTAAAAATGTAAAAAGTGGAACTTCTATAGATAGGTTTATGCACATAATGTTAAATTAGGTGAGATAGATGTATACAATTGATGTGTGATTTCACTGAAATTTCCTTTAAATATAGATAGATAGATAGATAGATAGATAGATAGATAGATAGATAGATAGATAGATAGATAGATAGATAGATAG